GTCTGTGTCTCTCTGTCTGTGTTTCTGTCTCTCTTTGTCTCTCTGTCTCTGTCTGTGTCCCTGTCTGTGTCTCTCTGTCCGTGTCTCTGTGTGTGTGTCTCTCTCTCTGTGTCTCTGTCTGTGTCCCTGTCAGTGTCTCTGTCAGTGTCTCTGTCTGTTTGTCTGTCTGTCTGTCTGTCTGTCTGTCTGTCTGTCTCTCTGTCTCTCTGTCTCTCTGTCTCTCTGTCTCTCTGTCTCTCTGTCTCTCTGTCTCTCTGTCTGTCGCTCTGTCTCTCTCTCTCTCTCTCTCTCTCTCTCTCTCTCGCGTTCCTTGCGTCATTGTCTCTGGCTGCTCATCCCGTGTTTCCTTCTCCATGGTTTGCGTTCAGGTTCGCCTTTTGTTTCAGCTTCTCGGGTGGCCGGTACGTACATTGGATGTCTGTGTGGGCGTCGTTACTTGGACTGACCAACATCTGCCAACAAGGGCACGCATAGTTCAAGATGTTTCGCAAACGGTTGCTCAGGACCGTGGACCAGCTGCGTTTTCATTGGATGGTTGTGACTGAGAAAAGTCGCATCGAACCCGAAGAGGCTTTTGTTTCGTGCTTGCTCTCTCCCTCTCCACATTGGCTGCTGCATTTGCCGATCAGCATGCAGATGTGCGGTAACTAGGTGCATGTGCCATACTGGATCAACAAATGGATGAAGTGTCAATAGCGATGCCAGGGGCGAGTGCCATCTTGCTAGCCCAGATTGTGAGCCCACGGGCAGAATGTAGAGCAATGTCGCCGAGCTCACCGGGAGATAACCAGGCGTGAGCCTGCAGAAGGCCACCCCGCAAAACCGAAAGGGGTTCACCAGCAAATTTTTGCATAATCAGGTTTATCACGACGTCTTCCAGAAGCCTGACAGCCACAGAGTGCCTTGGAATGAAATCTTTTGGGTTGTCGGCCATTCGGGCATCTGCTTCTTCTCAGGCTCTCGGACACTGACAAGGTGGATGTGCGGATTATGTGCATTTGAGGGCAAGATGTCGCATGAAGCAAAGTGTCACAAGGTATGAGAGTTCAAAAATGTAACGCCTCTGCGAGGTGCGGGAACTCGAGTATTGGTGCAAACTTACCTTTCGCTCGGTCGAGCTTCATTTGAAGTGCGAGTCCCAGTGCAAGTTCCTTGGTCGAACCTCTTGTCGCACGCTGTGCAGTGATATGGTGGGATCTTTCGCAGGACTCCAGGCAGGCCAAAATTTCCGACCACCCAAAGTCCGAACGCCGCCAAACCTTGTTTTACTTTCCAGCTTAACGTAGGCTCCCTGGCTTAGATGTACTGCCTCCGAGACCCGGAGCGCGGCATTTCTGGTGAATGACAGTTGGCACACTTGACAGGACAAAGTTCTGTGAGGGTCTGTGAAGTTCGATTTGGGTTTCTGAGTTCCCGCAGAGCCCCCCGCCTTTCCCCGTGAGCGTCGGGAGAATCCCTGCTTGGTTTTGGGATCTGAGTGCCGATTGGGTCAAAAGCCTCGGTCGGGGCCACGGATTGCGGAACGGTACTGTGGCCGCTGGAATGTGCAGAATCGGGCTGTAAGATGTGGCCTGCCGGCAGTGGAATCGTTGAGCTGGCGACTTCTCAAGGACAGCCTGGTCTCTCTGTGATATCAGCGATGTTGAAAGGCCGCACCCACAGTCCAACAAGCCACGGGTTCTGTTGTTCTCTAAGCTGTCTTAGCGTTGTCAAGATAGAGCTTCGTGAAGGATCCGGACCTATGCAGAGAAACTGGAAGGCTCGCCACTCTTGGCTTCAGTGGCAGCCTGTTTTCATTGTGAATGCAGGCCCTCTTGTCTACAGCTTCCTAGATGTGGAGGACATCGCACAGCCGTACTCTAAGACTGTAAGCCTTCCACCCCGGATGTCCATTTTCAGATACAAACGGCTGCAGAGGTTCAAGACAGGTACATGGTGCAATGTTGCCTAGTCTCACAGCGCCTGTAGGCAGAAGGCGAAGTAGTGCCTGACTAGTGTTGCAAAGTTGGCCGAACGCAGAGGTAGACTTCTCAGATTTCTCCACACTCTGGCTCTCAACCCTTGCATGGGGTGTCCGACCCTGCGTACTTTCATTGTATTCCACTAATTGCTTTGGCATTGCAGAAGCTGCGGAATGCGTTAAAGACGTGCCATGGCAGCTGTCAAGGTACAGATGTGACTTGCACCGTGCAGGGTAAACTCAACCTTTATATCTGTCACTGTACCCAGGGTGTCCTTACACCTGGTCTACTTTCACCTGGTCTACTCGAGGCCAAGCGGCTTCGGGGGGCACAAAAGAGGTGCGGAATGCTTTCACTCCTCTTGCCAAGGCCTACATGACCAGATACGAGTTGAGTAAAGACCAAGTGCGCCGTGGATTTTCCCGTGGAACGTCTCCTGGGCCTTTTTCGTGGGCAGCTCAAGGTGCTGGAGCAAAAGGAAGCTTTCGACCTGCTGGACATCGATGGCAATGGCAAGGTCACCTACCAGGAGGTAAAGGAGCCGGGGACCACGTTGACACTCAGTGATCATCTTTCTCGCTTACATGAGCTTTCCCACTACCTTGCAAGGAGATGAATGCCAAGCTTGGACAGCCGATGTCTGAACAGGACCGCTGCCAATTTCTCGAGAAGGGGCTCAGCAGTCGTGAAGCCGGAGGAGCTTTCTGAGCAGTTCACAACGCTTGACGTCGATGGTCTTCCTCCTAGCCTCTGACCCGAGTCTCGCGATCCCTCGTGGTTTCGGGGCCTCTCCGAGGCAGCCACGCCGTCACCTTCCCAGAGTTTCTCAAGGTCTATGTGAAAGGGGAGCCCTGTCCTCTGGGCCTGTTTACGATTGTGAGCCAAGCGCCGCAAGCATCGTGTTTCTGAGGTTCGGAAGGGATGTTCCACTGCCTAGAGACGAGGAGACTCTTCAGGCCATGACCCGAGCCCTGAGCCTTGAGCAGCGGCTCTGTGCCAACTGCTACAGCTACTGCTACTGCTACTGCTACTAGTACTGGCGACTGACAACTGTTAGTATTATCAGTATTCTTGTCACTTTATCAGGCATGGTAATCCCGAATGTCATCCTTTTACCCATTGCTGTATCACCGTGTCTCGTGATTCGAAAGGGCTACTCTTTCGGTGGACCCTTTCAGGTTTATAGATCCTTGTTTTGTGCTGTTGTTGTTGATCATTTTGTGGGGATCCAGCGGCCCTGTCAGTTGTGTTGGACTAAGCCTCTGTTCAATTTCGACTCGGATGCTGGAGCTTTTCACTCAGGTAAACGACCTGGCATGAGGCTCAGAGCTTCTATCTCATTGCGAATGCTGAGCAAAGGATTGCCGTTTGAGGGCTCATGTGTGCTCGAGCGGCTCTCCGATCACACGTGAGCCTGCAGCCTGAGTGGCAGCCTGAGGCGCCAGGCCGAACTGGTTCCCTCAGCCATACGCCACGTGTTTCGAAATTGGTTGACTGCCCCGGCAGTCTGCTTGAAGTTTTCGCGGTGCTTCAGGCTGGATCCCATTGATGAGTCCAAGATGGTAATGAAGCTGTCTCAGAAAAACAGCCAGCGCCCAAGCATGAATGTCGTCGGATGATTCATGAAGATGACGATGATAAAACATGAAGATGAAGATGTTTCTTTGTCGTAAGGTGATAATGATGATGCTGATGCTGATGCTGTTGATGATGATGATGATGATAATGATGATGATGATGCTGTTGATGATGATGCTGTTGTTGATGATGATGATGATGATCAGTAGCAGTAGCAGTGGTATTCGTAGTAGTCGTCATAGCAGTAGTAGTAGTAGTAGTAGTAGTAGTAGTAGTAGTAGTGTAGTAGGAGAAGTAGGAGAAGTAGGAGTAGGAGTAGGAGTTTGAGTAGTGGTGGTTGCGGTGGTAGTAGTAGTAGTAGTAGTAGTAGTAGTAGTAGCAGCAGTAGTGGTGGTGGTAGCAGTAGTAGCAGTAGCAGCAGATGTAGCAGTAGCCGTAGCCGTAGCCGTAGCCACAGCTGTAGCCTTAGCTGTAGCAGCAGCAGCAGTCGTAGGGCTAGTAAGTCTGAGTGCCAGAACTAGCACCAAGGTTATTAGTATGAGTAATGATACTTAGTAATGCTGTTGCCTGCCTGTCATCTGTTAGAATTAGAAGTAGCTGATGGTAGCAGTGAGCGGCAGCCACGGTCCCGGCATCAGCATCGGTAGTTGCCGTATGTTGACGGCACCGACGATGGCAAAAGACCGGCACGGACTCCGCCATAATCGTAGTAAGTAGGGAAACAAATTCTTTTCTTCACATGCAAAAGATCTGACATTACAAGTAAAGGTGCAACCTGGCTCGAGCCGTTACAACCATGGTGCTTGGCCATAGCAACGCCAGGATGTCAACGTCGTAGCCACAGTTGGAGATAGCAGAAGTATTAGTCCAAAGGTTTGCGGCGTCATGTCAGTTTGAACTTCTGTCGAGTTACTTGGGTTGCCAGTCGGTGGCATCCGAGGAGTTTCCTTCACCACAACTCCATAGTCCCTACATGTGTAGACTTAATAGCCTAAGTTAAGTTTTGGCTTAAACCTTGTGAACTAACCAGCAGCAAATTTCGATCCAAGCAGCCTGTACAGATGTTTGCGGCAATTTCATTGGCCTCGCGTGACATTCGTTTCGGTGGACTGTCGTCTCAACAATATCTGACGAAAGAGAGTGACTCGGCCTTTGGCCGTTGCATTTTGATCCCTACTTCGAGCAGACATGCTGATCTGAGTCCTGACCGACGATTCATGACGATTCGGTAGAAAGGTCCAAGATGTCCAATTCGACAGGCGCCGCCTACTATGTGCGCGTGGCGAAGCTGATGCTGGCTGGATCGCAGGCTCTCAAGGGTACAGTGCAGCTGATGCCAGCAAGATCAGCGATGCGAAGCGAGCCTATGCACAAGGAGCAACCCGCATCAGACGTGCTCGAACTGAACGCTCTTGGGTATGCCCGCTTCTCAAGCGCCCCTCCAGGGACTCCAGTAACGGTGATCAATGGTGTGCTGCAGAAATGCGGACGGTCCGAGGCAATTCCGCAAGCGACAGCTGTGGCAGCTGACTTACCCCATTCAGTCACATGCCATCTTTCTCCAGACCCTAAGCTAGCCCAGGCGGTCGCCCTTGAGCAGCAGCGGCTTGGCAAGGCCTTCGTCCCAAGCAGAGCCGAAGTCCTAAAGTTCTCTCACTTCACAGGTCCTTTCCATTCGAACAGGACTGCAAGAGGTGTGGACCCCGGCATCTCTGCACTCCGCACGTGCAAGCCGCGAGCCTCCAAGTCGACAAGCTACAAGATGCTATTTACAAACTTGCCACTTGAGCTTAGCACAACCGGGAAATCGGAATGTGAAGACTGCGGTTGCATGGTTTTGGTTGTTCATGAAGCTGGCTACTGCTCTCTTCATCACTTGACTCGAAAGCACTTGTGATGGGTCGCAGTCCGAGTGACGCTTGCAAGCAAGCTGCTTGTAGAGATCGCTGCGAATCCTGGGTTCTCCGCCGCTGCCCCGCGTGTCGGTCTCAGGGCCAGAGTGGAGCACGAAGAAAGATGATGAGTTTGGGACGCAGGGTATGCGGCAGGTCTTTGGCCGTGCCGTGCAGATCGGGGGGGGAGGGGGGGGGCGGTCGTATGCGGTGCATGGAATCGGACAAACAAAGCCGAGTGGCGCTGTGAGCCTTTGGCTTGTGTTTTGACACTCTCCCTCACTTCGTGCAAGACTCGCAAGGGCATCAGCAGGCCTAGACAGACAGCACAGGCGGACGATCGTCAGGCTCTGTGGATGGGGGCTTGCTGGTGGTTGCGCACTGGCACCTGCTGGGCAAGATTCGCAAGGGCTTCGCTGTTTCCGCCTTCTGTACAAAGGTCCCGAGCACAAGCAGACATTGCAGGACGCTCAGCAGTAGTCCTGTGCGTTCGTGTCATGCATACCATTACTGATGAACGGAAGCTATAATGCACGATCGGCAGCTAAGGTCCTGTAATGATCATTCGCATTGCCAGATCCGCTGAGGGAGAGCCATCCTAGTGCGGCTTTGATCAGCCTGCTTGCTGCATGGGTGAGCAGGGAATGGAAGGTCATATGGTCAAGAAAGTCTTCATGTACAATGTGCCTGCGCTTGTTTTGTGTTGGTCTGAAAGGTCTCCAGAGGCCCCTAGGCAAACCAAAGTAATCCGAATGCCTAACCAAGCTACTGGCTGACAGAGCTGCGCAGCGGTCACTAGCATGTTCTGAGCATGCGGAGCCGGCGCCGAGAAACGGAAACAGCTTCGTTGCCTTTGCATTGAGCCGGTGCACCGGCAAAGGAGCACCTGACATGGCAAGTGTCAGGACATCTCTGGCGAGATCCGAGATGGCCGGACATGGGCTGAATTGGTTGAGGCACCTGGCCCCTGCCTTGCCTGGCTCCCAAAACGATCATGAGTCCGAGTGCCGAAGGCTGGCTATCTTGATGTTGACTGGCGGGATGTTGAGTTCCCGGCAATGCCAGCTTGGTTTGAGATGCCGCCCACAGTGCTGAATCTGCTACTGTTGAGCTCTTTTGGGATGTGTCATGTCTTGATGTATGTTGCTACTGTGTCTAGAGCTGGTTGGTGCTGATGCCGCAGGCCGCCACTGAAACAATGCCGGGTCCGGGGAGTAGTAAACCCCAGCCAAAAGCCGCTCGGTGCCTCTGCATAGATGTCTTGTCACCTCCAGGGGAAATGCCCTTCGAACACTCAGGTTAACGGCTGAGTTGTGTGGCGGTGTGGTGCTTTCCTTGTGGGACTGTGTTCGGCATTCCTGAGTGCAGCTGCTTAGCTTCGAGGCCCAGGACTCCAGAGTGTGGTGCACATGCATATGGTGGGTTTTTTGTTACCTTGATGCAGTCGATTTGCCTTTGGAGTTCTTGCCGCTGCTAGCACCCACAAGAAGTGGGGGGCGCAGAGGGGTCGCATCCCTTTCCCCAGCCCTGGCGAAAGAAAGAGATAGAGAGGGCTCTAGCAAGTAGACGTTGCAGTGTTGAAATTCTGGTGGGGACGAGCGTGATCGTACAGGCCGACAGTTGTCGTGAGATGCTCGCCCATGTTCTGGTTTTGTATTGGTGTCCTTTTCGAGTCGCGTGGACATGGGCACAGTCTCTCCGTTCAGCTGATGTCCGCATCAAGCCGCCTAGGCAAAGAGTCCAAAACCTCGCCGCGCCGGGGGGCGAGGGGTGTCCGCGCCTTTCTCCTGGCCTATAGGGGAGACAAACAGGGAGAGACATTGCGAGCCCTGGAGAAGAGAAGCGAGAGAGAGAGAGCCGTAGCCATTGCTGTGCAATTGTTGCCACATACACAAAAGCGGGAACTGCAATCAGGGCATAGCAGCTAAAGTGTGTAATGTCCATCGGCCGACAATCAAGGGGAAGAACTTCTTTCCTGAGGGGGGATTTCTTGGATGTCGATGTTGTTTGTGGGTATTTACAGGTCTCCTTGAGATACAGGTGGCAGCAAAAACGCCACACATGTCGACCGAACATAGGCTTCCTGTTAGGCAGCGATGTGATCATCGAAATGTTGCTATTATTATTGGATTGTAGTACCCTTTATCCTTTGATGTCCCTGCGTTGCAAAGCCGGTGATCTCTTTGTGAATTCAATAGTCACAATATGATTCCCCTAAACCGCAGGGGGAACCGATGATTCATGTGTCAGCTTTCGGTAGTCTTCTATGTTATGTCATAGTTTCTTCCTCATCATTATGTGATAATGGCTGACCTTTCCTGAATCATGGCTTGCATGTGTCTTTGAGAACATTCAACCACCCTTGGTCGTCATCGTATGATTTATGGCTTTAGCCTTTGGGTGGTTAATGTTTGCTCTTCACTCCCCGTGCAACCCGATCAAAAAGATCGGGTGGGCATTTTGCACGGGGACGGTGACACGCCCCCATACCCGGGAGAGAGAGAGAGAGAGAGTAGCCATTTTGGCTCAAGTGCTACACCTGTGCTTGAGGGCCTATGCCGCCCTCTTGTACGGGGGGGAAGACGAAGAGTTAACCTGAAGCTGTGCACTTCGGGGGAGCTTTTTCGTTTTGCCCAGTGGTGCTTGAGCTCCACATCCGTCGCCACTTTGCTCAAGAGGCCCCACTGCCTTCCGCGCCTCTCCGGAACCCGACCGAACCTTCTTCGGAAGGTGGCCCTCCAGTAGGGGGAAAGAACATACTACTTGACGGTGGAACTCCAAGTGATCATCCGGGACTACCTGGGGGACTTCGATGGCGAGCTCCAGCAGGCTCAGTGGAGGCCGGGGGGGGAGAAGGCAGCGATCTCCCAACGACAAGCCCTCCAAGGTGACAAATACCTGGGAGGAACAAACCAAGCTGGCGGAGTGCTCGCGAGAAATTGGGTGAGCTGTGAGGCCTGCTTAGAAGGACCCTTCAAATCCCATGATGGGGGGGAGACCTGCTACAAACACATGATCTCCGCGGGTACAGCAAGCAGCCCAGCGAGCTTGAACGACTTGCGCAGCAAGGGGGATGCCACAGCAGCACATGCAACCGTCTCTGAGCCGGAGGGGAACCAAGGAAAGCCCAAAGGGAAAGGCAAGTGTCGGCCCCTTGCAGACTACGTTCGCTTTGACAAAATCTACAAGTGGGACAACAAGTACAAGCCGTACTTGCACCCGGTGACGGGGGAAGCACTTACAGCGGGGGAGAGCGAGGACTTCAAGTGCTACCTGCAACGGCACAAAGAAAGAAAGACGACAGACGGGGCGACGGGCTGACGAGCTTGTCAACCTTGTGGCGAAGTTCAACCCCGAGTCGAAGAAGAGCTCAGAATATACATTGGCAGATTCCCGGGGGAAGTGAGCTCATTGCTCGCCCAGGGCAAGAAGGTATACCAAACGGCTATGGCAAAGAAGCAGCGGCATGGGGGGAAAAAACAGTGATACCCAGACTGCCGAGCTGCGCCATGGCAAAAAGAAAAAGACCCACAAGGACAAGAAAAACAACAAGGACAAGAAGAACAAGAATAAGAACAAGAAGAAAGACAAGAAGGACAAGCAGCAGAACATCGGGGGAACCGCCGCACGTTTTTCCTTTTACCCCTTACAAGCCGCATTGAGTAGGGGGACGCCTAGCTTTGGTTGTGTGTTGGCCGGAGCCTTATTTTCGTGTGCTGGGGATATACTGCGTGTTGTTGCGTCCCCTGACAGCGGTGATGTACCGGAGAAGACCCAAGCCCAAAAACCCGCCAGCGGACACCTAAATGGCAGTCCAAACGGGGGATTCACGTTCAAGTACAGTTGCGAGGGGAAACCGTGAGACACCCAAGAACCGCGGGTGCGCGCTCGCGCCCGGGGGGTCGGGACAGGACGCTTCGAGAGACTCCTGCCCCTAGCCCTGGCGAAAGAGAGAGAGAGAGAGAGAGAGAGAGAGAGAGAGAGAGAGAGAGGCCTGCGCCCCAACCCCTAAGCAAAGCAGAGAG